GAAAGAAACAAATCTTATCGAAATTTTATTATTATGATATTAGTTGAATATTGATCAAATAGCATAGAAAGATAGAGCAAAAGACGCTCTATCTGTTCATAAAAAAAGAAATTTTTTCCAAACACTCTATAAGAAATTAAGATGCGGGACTCACTATTTTTGGTATGACCTAAGTATCATATTCAATTAATGTTAATAAAGAATCAGGTAAAAGATCTATCAGCAGTATTAAAATATCAACATAATTTTCCAGAAAGCAATAATAGTAGTTCAACAGTTTTGAAAAATTCTATATAGATTCGTTAAGGAAAAATTCTTGAATATACACAATACTGAGTTATTATCTTAAATCTCATTTTTTTCTGATCACTAGTAAATTATCCGTAAGTTTATTCGTCTAAATATGTTTCATTAATATAAACTATTTCGGCGTAAAAAAGATATCGAGTTTGTATTAAAAAAAAATCTTCTTTTCTTGCTTTATCATTCTCATCGTAATATATGCATATAGTCACGTCTCTCTGTATGACGTTATTTTTTTTTCTTTCTTAGTCCGTCATTGGCGATATTCTTGGTTCGATTTTTTCTTTGTTTTGTATCCTTTACAACTATCGCTTTTTGCCGTTTTCTATTACAATTCACTCATCCGTATAGTTGTGTTGTGTCGAGCGTATTCATTTTTTCTGCATTATATACATATAGTTGATCCGAGCAGTGAGCAGAGTATCATCGTATTAGTTTACAAAAAGACTCATTCATTGCCATGGTCGACTTTACTCTCTCACCAGAACAAAAAACAGTTCAAATATTCGCACGCACCTTTGCACAAGAAAATCTCCTGAATGCTCATCTACTTTATCAAGATCTACCAACTCCGCACGAGCGATTTCTCTCAACCAAGTCAATCTACGAGAAAGCAGTGCAAGCTGGTTTGATTCAAGGTCAGATTCCAGTTTCACTGGGAGGAAGTGGAGGTGCAATGATCAATGGAGCATTGATTTGTGAAGAATTCTATGCGGTCGAGTCGAGTGCAAGTTTAACCATATTCGGTACCGGGTTAGGAATGTTACCAATCATTCTCTTTGGTTCACCTGACCAACAAAAACGTCTTCTTAATCCGTTCATTCGCAAACAAGGTGCCCCTCTAGCGAGCTTCGTTTTTTCTGAATCCGGTGGATCTGCCAATTGGAAGACTTCTACAACATTCACTACTGCCCATTTGGATGGAGAACATTATGTTTTGAATGGCGAGAAGAAATGGGCTACGAACTGTGCTGGCTGGGATTATACAGGTGCGGATGTACAGTGTGTCGTGGTGAAGATCAAGGAATCCTTTGCCGTCATTGCTGTCACATCAGAAGATATAAAGAATAACGCACATGGAGCGTACACGATCATCGAAGATATCGAAACCGTCGGACATTGTGCTGTTTCCGGACCGCATATAAAGTTCACTAATCTTCGAGTACCTCTTTGGAATCGCCTCGATCAAGACGGCATCAAAATAGTCGAAACTGTTTTTACTATCACGGCTGGTCTCGTTGGCTCTTTTTGCACTGGTGTCATGCGTACAGCATTCGAGAAAGCATTAACATTTGCACGGACGGAGAAGCGTGGAGGAGATACATTTATAATCAGTCATCAGAGTGTCAGCGACATTCTTATTTCGATGAAAGCGATCTTGGAAGCATCAAGATATTTAACGTGGAAGGCGCTGCACCTTTTTGAAACGACTGGCAATGGGGAACTTTGTTATCTTGCCAAGATCTTCGCAGCTGACCATTGTGTCCAAGTGGTTTATGATGGAATGAGAGTGATTGGCGTTGATTCTTACAGCAAGAAATATAGATTCGACAAATTGCTTATGGATTCGGCTGTCTTTTCGATATTCGATGGTGGCAATGTCGGAGTACGCAGACGTCAAGTTCAAGACTTGTTTAAGAGTGACAGCTATGACCCATTAGGGACAATGGGTTAAATAACCATAATGACATCTACCACTGATCCAGAAATTGACAATTCTATAGAATTCTATGTAACGAACAAATTCCAACAAATCTAGCGGTTCCCCGGAATTTCATTTCACTATGTCACAAGAGGACGTGCTCATGCTAATCGTCTGAGCTGTGTTGGAAGTCAAGGAATTCAAGTAAATCTAACAAGTGTAACAATTCAATATAATTCTATTCGTTTTTTTTTGTCCGATTTATTTGAATTTCTTCGGTCTGTAATTACCCTAAATTATAAACTTATGTGGAATTCTATAGAAACTCTTTGATTTTCTAATTCATGAACAGTGAGCATTGCTAAAAGTTTGATTATTATTTCAATGAAAAATGGTATTTAAATTCATGAATAACTATAGGATAAATCTCAAAATCATGCAAATTGTTTAAATGAATGTGAAATAGTTTGAGCTCGATACCAACGTCTTAATGAAATTCAAATGTGATCAATTATACACGATGTAAGCTTAAACTTTTCTATATCTTCATTTTGTTATTGTTTATTCAAATCGTCATATTAATTCATATTTTCAAGTTAAAGATTTACGAAAATATTTTTTAATTCAAGATAAATTAATAAAGATTATTCAAAGGCATATCAGTGGTGGTGGTATATATAACTTGAATTTCGAGGTGGTAAACTAGAATGCCTTGATGATAAACCGAGCAATAATAAGTCAATTAAATTTTAATAGAATGTTTATGATATTTTGCTGAGTCTCTTTTTTTGTCAGACTGAAAATAATGTTTTATACTTTTTTGTAGTATTTACATCAATACCTCAATTGATTTGTACAATATTTTACATATTCTTCATTAGTTATTTCATGATTATAGAAATTCGCTTATTTTATCCTTTTCGACAAATTTGGTCATTCACTGAAGTTGGTATAATAATTTGTTTATGATCAAGTGTTCCAATTGATATTTAGCAGTATCAAGAATCTAAACGAATAAATTAATTTGGCTCGTTCACATTGATGCTTTTAATTGTATTTATTGTCATCTCTTTGTTTATTTTATTTATGATTTGTTTCAAAAATTTCATCATGTTCAAGTTTATTAACTACAACACAAATGTTATTTAAAATGATATTATTAAAATTGGACTCACATCAATTAAATGAACCTGAAACGTTTTTAAGATCATTTTGTTTTAATTTGTTTATATGAGTATATCTCTATCGATCATCAATGATAATTTTTGTCTTGCTCGACAAAATATAAATGATACTCCAGAAATATTTTCATTTATGTTTAAAAGATTTTTAAGTTGAACAGATATGAAATTTTTGTTTTCTTAAAGGATTCAATGTGTATACAAAGAATAAACAAAAGCATTATGTTAACAAGAAAATGTTGTGGTGGTAGACTATCTAGCCATCCTCCGTCAGTAGAATCACAATATGCATGCAGCATCAGTGAGGACTATCGTTAGAACACATAAGCAATTAGTTCATCTATATGTAATTTTTATTTTTTATATAGATTAACAAGCTTTTTTTATCCAGTTATCAATTAATTGAATATTTTCCTGAAATCGATATAGAAAAGCTATCCAAAATGTTGTCTAATCAACTAAAAAATTCATTTTTAAGATTTAAGTTATTATTCTTTGTAAAAATTTCTTTTTATTTTATTAAGTCAACTGTTTTTGTACGAATATCCATTGGTTATTTATTTTTCAATAATAGGATAACCTATCTATTTTGTTTTCTATTCGAATACTCTTAGATGCGTCTAAGTTAATATCAGAGTTTGCTTGAATTTTAAATATTCTAATAAAACACGCGCACATTAGTATTCTAGAGTGTGGATACGAGTTCGGTTGAGTCTTTATAATGAATCTTTCAAATGAACTTCTTTGTTTAATTCTATTTATTAGTAAAATATAGGAGATATTAAACAAATTGTCTGGCAATGACATACTGTCTATTAAATTTAAACGTAGCTATAAAAAATATTAATATTTGCACGTTTCTTTTGAAAATAACATATAAGCAAATATTATGATAGAGGATGTTACTCTATTGAATATAATTATTTTGCAGACTGAAAAGGCCGAATGGTTGCTAATTAAATATATATGATATAGATTTATTTTAAAAGATGGAATTTTCTTATTGTGTACATCTTGTGTATAAAAAATGCGAGACAATAGTAAAATAATTATAAATTTGACATCTAAATTAACATATATTTTTGAGAAGAAATTGTAATTCAGAAAAATATAAAAAATTTTTCAAATAGTAATAGGAAAACTTAAAATTTTAGGATTCAAATTAAAAATTTTTACGAAAAACAAAATATTTTTCCTGCAACATAGATATTGGAATTCATTTTTATTATTTCTCGATGAATAGGTGAAAAAATCTATTTCCTTGATGAGCCGACATATTTTCACACTAACGTTGTCGTTAAGAAATCAATTGAAAAATTAATTTAAAAAATAGACAAATAAAATTCATATTAATAAACATGAAGATCGAATAAGTCCCGTAGATTCAGTGTTTATATATTGGTTCAAAATTTAATATTTTATCTTTTCTAAAGAAATGGCGATAAAACATGGATGAATACTTATTCGTTTACTTTGATTTTTCGGTCTGAAATTCGGCTAATTATCCTCATCCGTTTATATTTCAAACAAAAAAGCTGTTTTATTCATCCTGACGATAACATAAATTAGATGTATTTTCTATTAGATTTGTGTTATTTCAAAAAACAATGTCAGCATTTATCCAGAAAACAAAACCAATAGTATCTTGTTTAATGTTATTGCGTCAATTTTTTCGTTGTATGAATAATAAGAAGAACAAAGAAGACTTTTCAATTCCGTTATGGGAATATAATAACCAAACATATGCATGGTCACAAAAATCACCTTATCAAAACAAAACAACGATCGAATGGAAATATTTTCGAGTTCTTACATATAATATTTGGTTTTCGAAAAATTATCAATCAATGCGTTTTAATGGTCTTTGTGACATATTAAATAAATCTCAACCACAAATAATTGGTTTACAAGAAAGTTCGTTTAATTTTCTTATTTTGATTATAATAAAAACATATATGTATATTTAGTGACGAAAAATATGCTTCAACAACTTATTGCACAACCATTTGTTCAAGAACGATACTATGTATCCGCGATGGATGGGTGTGGGTGTATGTGTGTGTGGATGTGGCTGTGGGTGCGGATGTGAGTTTAATTCAAGAATAGAGCAACATCCACATCCACACCCACACCCATACCCACACACCCACCCACACCAAGTCCTTGTACTTGGGACTTACACTTATAAATTGGGGCACATAGTTTTGGAATCACATTTTAGTGCAAAAATTGAACTTTTATCAAAATGAAAGATGATCGATTTAAAATAAATTGTCATTTGAATAGATTGGAAAAATTTCAGATGGTTCTACAAGTTTTCGTTAAAATAGACTTTCATGTTCGACGTATAAAATTTTAAAAATTTTCAGCCACATTTCAAAATAGATCTGATAGGTTGCTTATACAAACTCAATATTCTAAGGCAACTCAGATGAGCATCATCCTTTATGGATCTCATCCTTCATTTCGAAAAAACTCAAAAGCTGACTCAAGACAATTTTTACAAGAATCCTAGAGAGACTTCACTAACATACACAAGAAAAGAGTTGAATTAGCATCTTATTTTCATCTAAATTGTTAGCAGATGATGCTACAATTATCCTAAAAAATTTATTAGCGTAGTCACCATTACAGATCACATTTTATATTTATGCATCACGTAAAAATACAAAATAAATACTTTTTTTCGTTCTTAAGTACAAGTACAAGTAAATTTTTTCAAATAAAAGTAAAAGTACAAGTAAAATGCTTTTATTTGCTGTACTTGTACTTGTTCTAGCTCTGGTTTAAGTGAGTTTGGATGAGCTAAATCAGTTGTTTCCCCTTGTGTTGAACTATACCGGCTAATTCATTAAAGCTTACTATCGTTTCTTTCGGATCCACCTACGTTTTTTCATAAATGATCGAATTCGTTAATTAACAATATTTAATATTTTTAAGAAAAGAAAGTTATAGAAAAAACGATCATGTGTACGTACAGTTGCTCGTATATGCAGACGGTGCGATAAGAATTGAAAAAAAATTTCAATATATACGTCATACGACTAGGTGGTAGAGGAAAAGAATGAATTTTTGTAGAATAAAAAATTCTATAGAATTAATAAACATTAATGTAGTGCGACACGAGTTCACTTTTTACGTTCTCGACGTATGCATAGAAAGTTCGTATTTTCCGTTGCGATAATTTCGAGGACAAAAAGTTACAAAATATTCGTTTCACTTAATAACATGTGGTTTTCAAATCTTTAAATGATGTTTTATTTCTTAACAAATATCTCTAGAAAAAGACAAACTTTTGTGAACTTTCTTTTTCTTATCGTTTCGAGATAATTAAAATGGGGTCTATGACTATTGTGTGTAAGACAATTGTGTGTAAGACAGATGTGTGCAAGACAATTGTGTGTATGGACAATGGTGTGCAGACAATTGTATGTAAGACAATTATGAGAACAGACGGTCATGTGCATGCACGGGTGTGGGTGTGGGTAGGTAAAGAGAAGACCAACACCCACACCCACACCCACAAAGCTGAAAAATTTATGGCGAGTTGATATATGTCAAGCCTCAAACTTGAATTCCGATATTAAAAACGTAGTTCATCTATTCAGTTAATCATTTTTGTCAGAAAAAAGGATTCTTCTAGAGATGAAATACCTGCTTTGAAACTCATGGCATCATGACACCAGATGAGAATGCGGAAAGCGGAATAACTGAATAGTTAAATGTGCGAAGTTCAAATGATCGAAAAAGAAATAGTTGAGTAATTGAATAGTTGAATATCTGAACTTCATCTATTCAATAATTGAATCATTGATTACTGAAAGAATTTAAATGTGCTGTGTCAATAGTGGACATGAACGTAGAACAAGAGTATTTCTTCTGGTATATACTTTTCTTTGTATTACTTCCGGTATCTGAACGTATATGGATACATTCAAATTATCTGTCTATTATTATCGCTGCTTTGAATAGGAGTTTCTCACATGTATGACATTTGAATTGCAGAGCAAATATAATAGGATTCAGTTTCAGCTAAGGGTTGCATTGAGCTTGTACTTTCCTAGAGAACTCTATAGTAAGCAGTATGATCGACCAATGTTCTAGAACGTATACAAAGTTCTAATAGAATTTTTAAAGCGGGTCCTGTGTTTTTCTATATATGTTGTGAACTTCTTTTGACGTGTGGTCTCTGAAAGAATTGAATATGATATCATCTGACTTCTCGAAGTAAAACAATTTCGGGGTTAGACGAAGTGTGAATAAAGAAGAATGTTTCATCATGTTACTGTTGTGTAACACTATAACCTTTATTTTGCTTCCGATTTATATTAGTTAAAGTGCACTTGGATAAATAATTGTTAGCTTTTACAATCTCTTGCTGAAAAGCAAGGTTTATCCTAAACTAATTTTCAAAGAGACCGATCAGCTTCTTCGACTTTTATGATTCAAGAAATGAAAGTTTCAGTCAGTTATTACGATGAAGCTGGTAGATCAATTCTTTCGATACCCAAGTGAAGAATGTACTTCTGTCCTAAAAAGTCGAGGGCCAAGTGAGTCGAACCGACGAACGTTACTTGTTAACTTGCGTTTTTTTTTATTTCATTTTTTCTTCTCTATTTGTGATTCTATTTGTTATTTGGGTTCATAGTGAATTTAATCGTTATTTCATTATTTTTATTATTTTCTCATTGCAACACATCTTAATATACTCATGTATTCCATAAAAATGTTGACAGGTTACATTTTTTATTCAATATGGGAGTATATGTTAGGGTGATGTCGCTCTTTCACTTTATGTCAGATGCTCTCCTTCATGTTATTAACTATTTGTTCATTTTCTCTCTCTCTCTCTCTCTCTCTCGTTCCCTCTACATATAGCACCTATTATTGAATATATGTTATTCAGATAAATAAATATAGAAAATGATATAGTGCATATTCGATCGGCACATATATACCGTAGAGAGAAGAAAAGGGAAAAGAAAATAAATAAATAAATATTAATAAGGATAATATCCAAACTGCATTTACATATTCAGAATTTATACAAGAATAGATTATTTCTTTTTGCCACAAAAAATTGAGGTTCTTTATATTTCATTTAAGCATACTTTAACATGGAAAAAACAGCAAAGAAAAAAAAACATGATATTCTATTTTTCTATTACTTTCCTTCTATGAGTAAGAATTAAATTGTAATTCCAAATTGAAATAATTCAAGCTTTAGTTTGTTTTACTTTTTATTCGCATCATTGCATGCATGATTTAGTGATACTCTATTTAAAAAGTCCAACTGCACTCTATGAGTTGTTTCTCAAACAGGGATAGGAATGCATTCTCATCAATGAAAACCAAGAGAATCATTTCAGAAGTAATAAAATAAATGCAAATGCTACGATCAATAACTAATCTTTTCAAATGAGAAATAGAGAAGTTAAAACCAGTGAAGAGTAGCAGTTTCAAAGAATATTTATTGTTCATGAATAACGAAAACAGACTTGAAAATAAAATCGAATAAAAACCAGTTTTTTGTTAACTAAAAATTAACTGTTGATGTTCATTATCTTCGAAAGAGAAAAAAACGATATTGAAAATGAAAGACTTAACCAGAACTATCCATTCAGACTTTATGGATCATGGTGTAACTAAGCGAGACATTGGTTTATTGGTACTACATAAGAATAGATCTTTCTTTCAGTAAACACTAAATGTATTGATTCACATAAAAAATATGATTAGTGTGCAATTGACTACTTCTGATTCTGTTAAAAAATAGCACAAGATCTATATAAATAAATAAAACTAAAAACAAAAGTAATTAATGTTTGAGAAGCATAAAAATATTTGACGAACAAAGTCATTCTAAGTAATGGAAAAAAAAGTAATTACCTACTAGCACTTAAACCAGAAGAAAAAAAATTGAGCAAGAATATATTATTGAAAGTAATGTTCGGAATAAAAAAAAAAAGAATATCACAAACTGAAGGGGTAGCTCTCTCACATTCTTCATAGTAATGATATTCATCGAGTTATATCATTTTTTTAGTTACATAAAGAGCAACATTAACATAAACGTTTTTCTCATTTATAAAAGAGGAAAAAAAGAAACACACATCACCAAAGTCAATGTTTAGGAAGAATACTTATTTGGAGAATAGAAGAGATAAAATAAAGCAGAATCTACAATGAATAACTGCTAACAGCAACAATTCTAATGATTTGTTGATTTTTTTTGAAGAATCGAAAAGAAATCAACTATTCACTAATATAGATTTCATTTGTAGATTTATAGGTCATTAGAGTAGTAGAATTATGCATTAAATCTTTCGATCGTTCCACACATATTTACGTTTTCAATAGTTAATAAATAATCTTCTAGATTAATGGCTACGCAAACTACTACTTACGTAAGATATCGAAATCAACTAATAAACTTTATTAAGAATCTTAATGTGTATGACGATCACGATGACTTGACTCTGGCGGATCAGCTTTTATCAACGCACGTTTTCATTATCACACTTTTGATTGCTCTCTTTATTACCCTTTCGTTTACTGGCATTACTCCACAAACACGATTTATCACTTTTTCTTCGCCATCTCTCGATGATTTCGAAAATTTAATCAAGAGTTATACAACTACAGTTAGGTGCAGCTGTTTCCAAGCATCAATTTCTTACTCACAATTTATCTCATTCAATCCACAATTTCATCAAGTTTGCTCAAGCGACTTTGTCACTGAAGAATGGTTCTCTTCTTTATTCAATATAAATACAAGTAATTACTATCCTCTTGACTTTCGTTTGACAGCTTCTGCACAATTTCAAGTTTTATCTATTCTCTGTCGAATATCACGTCAAGCTGTAATCAATGCTCTCAACGGATTTTCTGCAAAAACACTATTGTCACCGAATGCAATGTCACGTAGCACATTTAATACTTATATAGACACGTCTATTGAACAATTTCAAAAAGATACATTTGAAATTTTTCGTTCATTCTATCATTTTGTGTCATCTATTGTCAGTGAATCTCGTTTTATATCTGCATTACGAACAAATTCCTATACGAGAAGTATTCCTGGTAGTAATATTTCTGTAACATTTTCTGCCATTTATCCACAGCAAGTTAACCTCAATCAATCGTCATCGATATCGAATGAAACATGTCGATGTGATCGTACAACTAATTGTATTTATCCAGCCGGCATTTATAATGAATCACGATCTATTATTCCCAATGAAGTTTTTTCATTTGAGGCATTGCCGACTTTCATTGTACCAGGATTTCAAGTTGGATGTATACCTCAAAATGCATTGCTTCAATCAACATTGGAATGTTTATATAATCAATCATGTTTAGACATCCTTATTTCGTTGACTGGTGCTGTTCAAACTACTTCAGCTCTAAATATTTCAAACTCATTTTCAAAATTCAATCCGACAACAACTATTGGGATTCTTTTTGATAATCTGATGATCGAATCTTGGGAAAACTCTACTGATTTTGCCACTTATTTCCAAAAATGTGCACCCAAAGCCTGTTCATATTCATATGTACAACGGTTCTTTCTCATTTACATGATTACTACATTGGCTAGTATCTTTGGAGGACTAAATATAGCATTACGTATAATATCGCCATTGTTTGTCAAATTCATTTTACGTTTATCTTGCCGACGAGTTCGAACTCTAGAAGCTGATGCAGAACATGGTCCAAAAAGAAGTAAAGTCAATCATCATTTCAATTTTTTTCTTGTACTTTTTCTTTCCATAGATTTACAAGATCATGTAAGCAATTTCATTAAGCTAATTTTTGACAAAGTTGTTACATTGAATTTATTCAAAACAACATTCGCCAATGTTCAGCATGGTATTTATTCTACTCGTGTCTATTTCTTATTATTGATACTTGGTGTTTACATTTTGACCATTTACTCTATTTCAATAGTTAGTTCACAACAAGTCATTGTTAGAAACCCAAGTCTAGATCAATTTAAAGATCTTCATGACACGTATTCATCAATGCTATCATGTCCATGTCGTCGTTCATTAATACCTCGTTCAACATTCTTCTTTTGCGAAGCATATTTCCATCCCTTTTGTAAAAGTAGTTTTGTTCGTGATGATCGTTGGCACCAATATTGGACAATGAGATTTCTTAATGGTACTGTCGATCCTATGCCACCATTTTATTGGACTGATTTTCGCAAAAATGGAATGAAGTTTTTTAATTATGTTAAAATATTTTGTGACATGGCCAATAGAAGGTGGTCTGAAATAGTGAATTCGTTTCAAAGAGAATATCTTTTGTCTTTTCAACCCATGACCGAAGAACAATTCAATGAAACAATTATCTATTGGGAGGGTCTTCTTAGGGGCAAGGTAGAATACATATAAAGAAGATAGCTTAAAATCACGTTTTCTTACACTTTTGAACATCTAAATCAAAAAAAGCTTGTCAGTGCAGCCCCTATGGGGCTAAAATGTGGAACTCACATATTGCTTATGATATAGGTACTCATTTATTAGTGGTTTCAAGTATTGAACTTGAAAATTACAATCGCAAAATTTAATAAGTTTAATTTTTTGTAGTGTGAAGTTTTTCGGTTTGATTTACTAATTATTAGTACACATGAGTTTATAAACAATGATTTGTTGATGATTCATGATTTACTCGTTTTTTTTATTGATTTATGCGACAAGTTTTGCAAATCGTAATTTTGTTAGCAATATCAACATGTTACTATTGGTATTATTAATATTATATATGGTGTATAGAATAGTTAAATATTTAAACTACATCGTAATATCATTTGTAGAGTTTGTTTAAGTTTACACAGTTTGCTTTTTTCGCTAACTTTGTTCTGAATGAAATGAGTTACTAAGGTCTGTAATGCTGGCGTAGACTGGTTACTAAGATCTGTAATGCCCCCCTCCCCGCCTTGTATTGCTAGTGTCTGTAATGTTGGGGTAGACTGGTTACTAAGGTCTGTAATGCCCCCCCCCCCCCGTAATGTCTGTAATGGGGAGGGGGAGCCGCAAAAAACTCGCTCTTAAACTTACACTCACCATTTTCTTCGAAAATATATGTGAGTTCCACAAAATTTTGTCGAACTTTGCGACACTTTTTTCTGCTATACAAAGGACATCTATGGTGATATCGGTCTTCTAGAGAAGGAAGGAAAAACATAAGTAGATAAATCTGAAAAAGGAAAAAGCCTTTATTCTAGTCTTACTGGAATCAGAATATTATATCATTGTATCTTTTATTTAGATCTACGAAATATATTATACGGAATCATCTCCAGTAGAAGAAAGCATTCGAAATAATGAATTAATATCATTTGATTTTATTGATCCTTCTATCATATCCAGACAGATCAATAACACATGGACTTTGAAGTATGCTACAGGTAACATCAATAACTATTTTCGTACACCATGCGATTGTATGCAAGTTATTCCTTGTTTAAAACCGTTGGGTTTCTATGGTAATTCATCTTCATATACACAAATAGATACTGTACCACATGAAATAATTCCTGGCCTATATCTTGGTTGTCAATTTTTAGATTTTAAATATTCTACACTAGAATGTTTTTACAATGAATCATGTGTTCAGATGTTGATTGATCATCGTCTTTATGGTTATGAAAATATCTATTTACCAATTGATTTGAGTCATATAACAGCACTTAATCCGGATGAAATCATGATTCTTTGGACTGATTCTCCGTTATATGGTTTTCTCGTGCAGTCTTTGATGTATGACTGGGTCTATAAAGGAAATTATACAGTATACTTTGCTCAATGCCAACCAGAGATATGTACTTATACAATAGGTCAGAAATTAAATCCTATTGGTCGTATTAACTTAGTTATTGGCCTGATTGGAGGATTCACTGTTATACTTCACCTCTTAATTCCATCATTTATTAAAATTATCTATCTGATTTATCATTTGTGCTACCAGCAAACACGAAGTAAGAAACTTTTTTCTTCCATTATTTGATTATTTTATATCATTTTAGATAATCCTTTACGTTGGAGAATGATTATTTCCTATATTCGAGATGAAATTTATCGCATGAATGTATACCGAACAAAAAGACAAGTGGAATATCAACATTTAGCAACAAGAATCTATATTGTTCTACTTATTCTATCTTTCGTGATTATCTCAGTTTTCGTTCGATTTCAGTATCGAACAGTATTCATAAACATAGATTCACCAAATGAAACATACTTTGCATTTCTTCACAGCCAATATTCTGATCGTTTATCCTGTCCTTGTACAAATATAACAATTTCTTTTGCAAGTGTTGCCACATTCTTCTCAGAAACAACACAAGAAGCTTGCTTTCAGAGCAATCCACCCCTGATTTTCATGGCGCCATGGATGCTACCAGCAATACTCTGGGAAGAATCTGATTGGACTCTCATCCGACCACAATTTCGTATCCTATATTACCGATGTTCGTTCGAGATTATGGATGTAACCGGGTATTTATTATCTATGGTTATTAGACCTTTAGTATCAGTTGAAGCAATGACCTTAGAAACATTCAATGTATCGTTCAATTCGTTTTTCACTGGCAGAGATAGAAATTCTTTGATCTCACCAGATAATGCTTTTAAATTCGTTTGTGATATGCTTCAAGCAAATCAATTTCAAAACCGATATATGACAAGTTGGAAAGCTGAATATTCGAGCTTAGAAGAAAATTATATTCTTCGTAGCAGTCCAGTTTCATTAAATAATGGTATGTGTTTTTGTCCAAGTGGTAAATCAAATTGTACAAAAATACCTATTTATTATGATCAGACTGGTAATTCAAGTGTATTTCCAGGTAAACTCTTTAAACAAGCTTTCTCGTGTGTTTTTTTTTTATCATTATACATTAAGTTGTTGAAAGTTCCAAAAAGGAATATGGTTAAAGGATGATAGGTGAAAAACTATATTGCTTATATTTGATATTTCATTTATCTAGGCATGGTCATTGGATGCTCAATCATGAGTGGCCTTTTACAGTCGACATTTGAATGCTTCTATGATGATGCATGCCTCAATCAACTAAATACAGTTTTTTATACTATACCCACTAAATTTAATCTCAGTGCAACGCAGTTTTCACCCACGACTACAATTGGATCGATTTTGGATACGGATCCCCGAACCGGGATAAAACTTTCTGCTAATTATTCTGCATATTTTCAAATATGTGCTCCATTAAAATGTCAATATCAGTATATTGCCAAACAGAACTTTGTGTTCATATTTACATTACTGCTTGGATTGTATGGTGGCTTGACTGCAGGTCTACATATATTCGTATGGCATGTTTTGGGTTCTTATCAGTTCATTTTCAATCGTTGTTCATGTTGTTTTCAACGTGTACATCCTTTATCGTGAATCTTAATGATCTGAACGACGCTTCTTATTCAATTCATTAAATAATATCAATTTTCAATGTTGTATATCTTATCTTACTTTTCTTAAACGTAAAAGTTGACAGTCGAAGTTACTATCATTGCTTTGCTTTGCTTCTCTTATATTTGCTTGTCATGGAAGAATTATATGTCCTTATTAAATAATAAAACATATTTGTGCGTTTGCTTGCTATTACACTTAGTGTTTATCGAGATGAATGAGAATATGCATGAGATATTGGTTCTAGTAATTGAACTGGTATTAACATTAGTGGATCAGATGTAGATAATGAGTTGAAAAAGAATATATTAGTTATTGAATAATCAAAGATAATAGACAAGTATAGTAGTTTTATTGATATTCTCTAGCTTTTCAGATGATATTTGGTTGAATGATTTGTTGTTTATATCTATTCATTATTAAGTCTATTCGACCGAACTTTTTACACATTTATACGATATAATCTATATAAGAATGTTATGATCGCATAGTTTTAATTGAAATGTTAAAATGAATAATAAGATTCGTTAATAATACTATCGATTTTCTTTTCAGCTCATCTCTATATTGTTTTTTCTTTATTTTATTGTGGTCACAAAGTTTATGCTTTTTCCTTATTGTATATCATGAGTCAGGTATATTAAGTAGTTTGAGTTTGTTTTGAAGGCTTAGTTCATCATTTGTATAATGCATACCAAGGGGAAACGGCAGATTCCAACGGTTTGGAATCCCTTGGAATCCCTTGGAATCCCTGGAATCCTTTGGAATACCTCGTGATCCCTTGGGATCCTTAGGAATCTCTTTTAGTTCGTAGAAACTTTTGGTTTCTCTGCAGAAAATTCCTTTCTCAAATTAATATTAGCTGCATGTTAATGTTTTTCTTAATCATAATATCTGACAGGATAGTAATAGTTATGAAGCAAAAACTATAGCTATCCGTATTGCTTTTCTTCGACAAATATATTATTTGTTTCTAATTCATGTGTAAGGAAAAACAGTTTTTACATCTTTTTATTTAACAAAATATAATTCGTTGACAAAGAAAAAAAAATCATGTAACGAAAAAAACCTTCATTCTTCTCTTCTATTCTGCATTACTCTGAGAAGTCTATCATTTGAAAGTTTATTTTTGTTCTTCTGTTAATAACCAACAAGCAGACTGCTTATGTAAATATTTTGTTTGATTGTTAATTAAAACTTTAAAATAAGTGTTTTCTACGCCAGGCTTTATTGTATCATAGACTTTTGTTCCAATAAAGTTTTTTTTTCGTGGTATTAATGAATTCAGTTGTAATTTCTTGCTCTTCATCATCAGTATGATCATCATCCGAAGAACAATCGTCATCATTACAACTGTCACTGTTGATGTCTTCATCATCATCGGCAGCTAATTCAAATTCTTCACTATCGATGGTATCTACTTGAGATGAGAAATTGTACATCTGAGAATTCTTATTTAAATGTTCAAATATATATGCACTTAATAGATTTAAACCAAGTACATGCTTTTGTTCTAATATGTCCAATACTTCTAAATCATTATATATAGTAACAGCATCATCATATGCATCAGCAATCAGTTGTTCAATATCTATTTGATCGATTTCGTCTTGAATTGATTTAGATAATGGTTGTCGATCATGACGATGTTTATAATGAACTGGAAAAATAAATTTGTTAGCTGATTGATCAGGGGAATGTTTATATTTAATATCATGAAGCTACGATAATTTCTGCACTCTTTGTACAAAGTCATGTACACGTAGGTGAAGTTAGCCTCATATTCGAGTAAATCCAGCCAAGATTCGGCGCCAAAGCTGCTCTAGCTGCGCCAGACAGCGCCAGTATACAACTCGACGAGCTCTATCCATTGTTGACTTTGGATTTTTTCTAGCTTGAACCATTCGTGCAAAAATCCCAAAATCCTAGGTTTTTCCTAGGCAAATTTTAGCATATGGATAGTAAATCCAGCCAAGATTCGGCGCCAAAGCTGCCCTAGCTGCGCCAGACAGCGCCAGTATACAACTCTACAAGCTCTATCCATTGGTGACTTTGGATTTTTCGTAGCTTGAACCATTCGTGNATGGTAAAAATTTCAGGGCTTTTGGTCGTATTTTAGCTGAAATATGAATATGAAAAAAATTAGACAAGCGCTATATTAATCCTATCATATTTCACAAAAATGAATGATTCACCATTTTTCATAGACTGATTCAAATCAGCTGAAATTTTTAAATTAGAGGTTTTTCGACATGGGCTTTCGTCCCAAGTACTTAGATCAACCGTTTCGAAATAAGTTAATTATCTTCATAGTGGTAGCCAGGCCTCCAAATTTGATCTTGCGAGTCGTATTTCAAAAATTTTTGCTACGAAAGTTCAATCTGCCAAAATTCTGAAAACATCATTAGATGCATTTTGATGTGCTCTTTCAAACAAGACTACTTTCGGTTTATTCTATTATACTGATCCGATCAAGTGGTCCCATATATTTGAGAATGCTTTCTGGAAATGCTATATAATACTAAGCCAAAATCATTCCAAAATAAGGCAATCTTATTACCATCAAAATGTAGCTCATTATTGATAGTATTTATGGTCAAAATATCTCAACTATATCTTTTATTATTTTCGAGAAAACAAAAATTTACTGAAAAGTATTGCAATAGAAATTACCAAAAATAAGATTTACCCTTTCCTGGTTGCGACGTCTGTACCTCATGAACACGTAATTCATTTGAGCTAAAACTTTCAGTTTATTCGCAGATATGTTAGGCCTATCTTCTGTAAAAATATGAACGAAATTGGTGAGATTGATTGAGCAAAGGTACGCTTAAATGGTCGTGGCTTACGTGCAATGCCTCCTAGAGGAGCCCAAGAGCTATACAAGTGTGATATCCTTAGGACCTGAAAGCCTACACTATCGAGGTATCGTTAGGACCTCAAAGCTTACGTTACAGAAGTACCCTTAGAACCTCAAAGCCTACACTATAGGGGATCTCTAGGAGCTCAAAAGCTATGCAAGTGTGGTGTCCTTGGGACCTAAAAGCCTACACTATCAAGATATCCTTAGGACCTCAAAGCCTACACTCTAGAGATACTCTGGGGACCTCAAAAGCTATACTAGTGAGGCATCCGTAGGATCTGAAAATCTATACTATAGAACATCATTAGGACCTCAGAAGCTACGCTATAGGGATACCCATAGGACCTTAAAACGTACGTTAGAGGAGTATTCTCAGGACCTCAAAGTCTACATTTTAGAGAAAACGTTAGGATCTCCTAGGCTATGCTATAGAGATGTCCATAAGACTTCTAGAGATATCTTATCGAGGTACCGATGGGACTTTAAGAGCTATCCTATAGAGCTACACATAGGACATCTAGAACTATCCTATACAAGTACCCATAGAAATATGATGGTGACAGTATATTCTTCACAGATTCTCTCATCAATATGTCGATCGCATTGAAAAATAGCAATGATTATTCAGTTTATGGTTCAGTTATGGCAAAAAGAGCTATTAATTTTGCATGGTTTTCTATGCGAACATTGACCTTTGCCGCTTTTCGTGGGGAATTTCCTCTCCGATAAGGAAACGAAATCCGAACTATTATACATAATTTGCAGATCATTTTAGCGGTCGGAAAATTGAGTATATAATGTTAAGAAAATATTTTGAACTCAATTTTTTGATTTAATGGATGATATTGTTGAGAAAATAACAAATTTTCTTACAGGTTTTTTTTCCAGAAAATCCCTCTGGTAACGGAAAAAGTTCAGTTCACAAGTTTTGAAATCTGAATTTGGTTCAGTTTTGAAGTACAAATAATGCTTGGTTTGAAATCCGACGTTTCCACATTTATTATAACATGGGATGTCTCAAACATACGAAAGCCATACATGATTCAAACATGATGGAAAGCTGCAGCTTAGCGGAGGCTGGCAGAAATATAACGATCGTATAGGACAATTTTCATTGTAGTTGTGGGTCTGGATCTGGGTGTGGGACATGGCCGTAGGTGCGGGGGTGGATGTGGGAAAGGACATATCAGCACTCACGCCTACACACACACCCAACTGTACTCCTCTGATGTAGCCTTTGAAATCTGAACGGTACTCCTACAATGTAGCCCTTCAGGTCCTAGGGGTACAGCTATAGTGTAGTCTTTGAGGTACTAACAATATTCCTACTCTCTAAAAAAAAGGATCTTTTCCGCACCCCTGGAACAGCTTCTGGAGATTTCTAAAAGCATCCAAATGTATCTAAAGTGTCAGAAAAGGATAAAAAAATTCGACAGAATCTTTTGGAGATTCGGTGGAGTACCCAACAGCAGAACCATCTCTTACGGAACCTTGTTTTAAGTTCTGTAAAGCAAAAAAAAGCTCTCGTGAGAAAATACGAAATCTTCAGGGTTCAGTACAAAACCATTGATCTTTGGTACGAAACCCTAATTGTTTTGTACTGAACCCTCAAGGTTTCGTATTTTATAACGAAAATTCTTTTGGTGTACAAAACCTCAAAACAAGGTTCCGTAAGAGATGGTTCTGCTGTTAATTACTCCGCCGAACCTCTAAAACGTTCTGTCGAATTTTTATCCTTTTTTTGAGTCTTTGGATACATTTGGATGCTTTTAGAAATCTACAGAAGCTGTTCCAGGGGTTCGGTAAAGCTTCTTTTTTTTTACGGAGTACAGCGCAGCTCTTGAGGTTCCCAGGGTAGCCCTATAATGTAGTCTTGAGGGTCCTAAGAGTACCCATATAGTGGAGCTTCTGAGGTCCTAAGACTACTCCGGTAAGGTGGGGTTTGAGATCCTAACATTACCTCTATAGTGTAGGCTTTGATGTTGTAGAGATGCCTCTATAATGTAGGCCTTGAGGTCTTAATGATACCCCTATGGTATAGATTTTGAGGGTCTGAGGATACCTTAATAATTTAGCCTTTAAGGTTTTATGGGTACCTCTACAGGATAGCCCTTACCCGCCTGTGAGCTGAGCTGAGCTGAACTGTTCGAACAGTTCATGAGTTCCAAACTTTTTCCGAACTGTTACAATCCTACTCAAGACTCAACAGTCTACGCGGATTTGAATTTTGATCTTAGCTTGTTTCCTTTGATGAACAAATAGAACGGTTTTCACAAATTTTAGAAGAAAAAAATTCTTAATTTTAAAATCAATGTAAAGGTCGTGTTCAGATTTGAACTACAGAAATGAGTAATTTCTTAATTTCATCAGTATACAACTGAAAATCATTAAGTTACAATGCTACTTGAATGTAGTCATTGACCATTATTTTTGATCAAGTAGATATTTACAGTTAGATCAAGTCTATCAAAAGAAGCTGCTGTAAGCTTCAATTATATACAAAAAATACAGTTTTAAATAAAAAAATCGAAATTTGTTTATTAAATTAAATAGAAATTAAGAAGAATAGTGAAACTTCACCAACTTAAACAAATATTGAAATTATATTGCAGTTGTAGGTTATTTTTAAAATAAGTTAAAGAATAAGGTCGTACATCGGACTCGGTAACCTGATCGCTATATAAACTGATAGTATAGATATAAACATTGTGTTCACTTCTCTTATGTCCTATTTACAAAATCCTACCAAAACCAAACCAAGAGTCTGATAACATTCTTGTTGAAACTTAATTTAATCCTAGAAACATTATGTGAAAAAACTTCATAACAATTGTTGGAAACTTCGTGGAATTCTGAAAGGTGTGATCAGCAATATTGTCATTTTATTTTTAAATTATTCGAAACATGGCAAGATTCTGCAGCTTCACAACTACACACTATGAGCATTGCTCCTTTAGTGTATTTTAGACAGATTCCGTCAAGTATTACTTGATGAGTGTCGTTTTAAGTTGATAATTGATATGATCATCAGTATGAAGAAGACATGTGCATCTGCGTGCATGTCGACACACATTCACATATTAATTTCTGCACTGAAACATAGTTTTGTTATATAACAGCTGCTAGGTTTTAAAAAAGAATGGAAAACGCCACTAGAGATCCTGAGACAGTAGGATATTTTGTCGTAGGGTAAGTAAGCCACATTGACAAGCGTTAATTCTTGCCTAAGAGCAAGCAGAAAAATATTATTCAAGAAGAGTTTGAAATAAAAAAATGAAATTATATTACAAACTTGAGGTGTAGTCTAAAACAATATGAACATGAACCTTTTTTACCAATTACTCATAAGAGAAGTCATTTGAAGAATAGAGGGAACAAAAAACAACAGAATGTACAATGTACAACTAGTAAAAGAAATTAAAAAAAACATCAGCTATTCGCTAATGTTGGTTTCATCTGTAGATTGAAACATCATCAAAGTTGCAAGATTATACATTTAGTCTTCCGATTGTTCGACATATATTCATGTTTTGCATAGTATACATAATAAATACTCTTCTAGATTAATGACTACCCAAACTACTAGTTATGTTAGATATCGAAATCAATTTATACATTTCATCAAAAATCTGAACCTCTACGATGAAGATGATGAGTTGACTTTGATTCAGCAGCTCTTATCTACACGCGTTTTCATTATTTCAATGTTGATCACCCTCTTAATTTTATTATCATTTACTGCTATTATTCCTCAAACACGTTTCACCACAATATCTTCACCATCAGTCAATGACTTTGAAGAAATCTTCAAACGTTACCCAACTACAGTGATGTGTCGCTGCTCCCTAGTATCGATTCCTTATGCACAGCTTATATCATTCAATGTACAATATCATCAAGTCTGTTCGAGCGATTTTGTCACTGAAGAATGGTTTTCCTCTTTATTCAATATTAATACAACCAGTTACTATCCTCTTGACTTTCGTTTGATGGCTTTTGCACAATTTCAAGTTTTATCTATTCTCTGTCGAACATCACGTCAAGTTGTAAAAAATGCTCTAAAAGAATTTTTGGTAACAGCAATTGTGTCACCAAATGCATGGTCACGCGATATATTGAATATTTACTTAGACTTGTCTATTGAACAACTGCAAAAAAATACACTTGTCAATTTTCTTTCGTACTATCATTTTGTGTCATCTCTATTTGAAGAATATCGTTTTATATCTGCATTGAGAACAAACTTCTACACAAGCAGTGTTCCTGGTAGTAATATTTCTGAAACTTTTTCAGCCATTTATCCACAAGAAAATAACCGAACTCAATCGTCAATGATGTCGAATGAAACATGTCGATGTGATCATACAAGTGATTGTGTTTATCCTGCTGGCATTTATAATCAAACAAAATCTATTATACCGAATGAAGTATTTTCACTTGATGAACCAGCTCTATTCATGGTACCAGGATTTCAAGTTGGATGTGTACCCCAAAATGCATTACTTCAATCAACATTAGAATGCTTTTATAATCAATCATGTTTAGACATCGTCATTTCGTTGACTGGTGCTCTTCGCACTGTCTCTACATTGAATATTTCAAAGTCTTTTTCACGATTTAGTCCAACAACAAGTATTGGAGTTCTTTTTGATAATCTAATGATTGAATCTTGGGGGAACTCTACTGATTTTGCTGCCTATTTCCAAAGTTGTGCACCCAAGACCTGTTCATATTCATATACACGTCTCTTTTTTCTCATTTACATGATTACAACCTTGGCTAGTGTCTTTGGTGGACTAAACGTAGTATTGCGCATCGTATCTCCGTTGTTCGTCCAATTCGTTCTACGTTTATGTCTGCAAAGGATTCGAACGGTAGAAGCTAATGAAGAACATGAACGAAACAAAAGTAAACTAAATTGCTACTTCAATATTTATGTTATTTTTCTTGTACTTTTTCTTTTCATAGGTTTCAAAGATTGCATACAAAATTTGATTAAGCTAATTCGTCAAAAAGTTATTACATTCAATTTGTTCAAGACAACTTTCACCGATGTTCAACCTGGTATTTATTCTACTCGTGTCTATATCATTTTGCTGATACTCGGTATTTTTATATTGATCCTTTACTCTACTTCGCTGGTTAGTTCACAACAAATTATTATCAGAAATCCAAGTATCGAGCAAATCGAACAACTTCGTGACAAATATGGATCGATTCTATCATGTCCATGTCGTCGTTCATTGATACCACGTTCAACATTCACATCGTATAAGCTACAAATTCATCCATTTTGTAGGAGTAGTTTTGTGCGTGATGATAGTTGGTTCCAATATTGGACAATGACATTTCTCAATGGTACCATCGATCCTACGCCACCATTTTATTGGATTGACTTTCGCAAGAATGGATTGAAATTTTTTAAATATGTTAAAATATTCTGTGACATGGTTGATATCAGTGTGTCTCAGATAGTGAATCCGTTTCAAGAACAATATATTTACACTCCTCAACCTATCACTCAAGTTGAATTCAATGATACAACTTATCTTTGGCAGAATTATCTTCATTTGCCGGTAAAATAAAGTGAAAAAGGATAACTCGAAACAATGGTTTTTTTTACATTTTTGAGCATCTAACTTAGAATTTCTTTACCGTGTCATATGGCATTTTTTTCTACTATTAGAAGAATATCTACAATGATATTGATATTCTAGAAAAAGAAAGCCAGACACAAATAGATAAATCTTGAAAACAAAATATCAGGACTTTAGTATCATTGTAAGCAAAATATATGCTTCTATCTTTCATTTAGATGATGCCATGGGGTAGGAATAAATTAAGTGCAGTGGAACAATATATTCAACAGAGTGGATCAATTTCATCCGAGTTTTTTTATCCTCCTGTCGTTTCAAAACAGAAAAATAATACATGGATTTCCGAGTATGGTTCAGGTGCCATAAAACTATTTGATGCGACGACATGTGATTGTACGTATGGTAGTTATTGTTTTAATCCACTTGGTTTCTATTGCTATCCACCACTGTGTACACCAACAGATGGCATAGCATTTACATCTATTTACAATCTATTTATTGGTTGTCACCTTTCATACTTTAGTTCTTCTACAGTAGAATGTTTTTACAATGAACCCTGTGTTCAAATGCTGATTAATCTGCGTCTTTATGGTTATGAAAATGTTTATTTACCAATTGATCTGAGTAATATAAAATCACTTGATCAAAATGATATTGCCTATAGTTTCTCTGAAACCAGTTTAAGATACCTTTTTTTAGCTGCTCCTGATTACTTCGTCTATATTGGAAATTATAGTTCTTACTATAATCAATGTCAGCCAGAGACATGTACATATACAATAGATCAGAAATTAAATCTTATTGCTCGTGTTAACTTAATTAGTGGTCTTATTGGAGGAGTAACTGTTGTACTTCGTCTATTAGTTCCATCATTCATCAAAATTATCTATCTTATTTATCATTTGCGCTATCAGCAAACCCAAAGTGAGAAAATAATTTTCTTCTATCCTTTAATTATTTTGACTTATTTCAGATGTTCCTTTACGCTGGAGAACGATTTTTATCTATATTCGAAATGAACTCTATAGAATGAATATATATCGAAGAAAACCACAAGTAGAATATCAACATTTAGCAACAAGAATCTATATTGTTTTACTTATTCTATGTTTCATAATAATCTCATTTTTCGTACGATTTCAGCCTTATGCAATAGTAATAAATGTGAATTCACCAAATGAAACTTATTTTTCATATCTTCACAGTCAATATTCTGATAGTTTATCATGTCCTTGTACAACTATAGATATTCCTGTGGGAAAGTTTTCAATAGTGTCATCTGTCATGCAAGATTGGGTCAATGTGAGTTCGCTAATGATCGCCCTGATGCCACTATTATCAGAAAACATAGTTTTGAATCAACTCGNTTTTGAATATGTAAGGCAACTTTTAAAAACTGAGAACTGCTACCGATCCAGACCGAGCCAAGATTATCCGGTTCGAGTTCGGTTTGGTTCGGTAGAGTTTTCAAAAAGTCTTTTCGGGTTCGATTGAGTTTTCAAAAAGTCGGTTCGGGTTCGGTTCGGTTCGACTCGAACCGAACCGAACCGAACTAGTTCGACTCAGTTCGGTTCGTTTTCGGTCTCTGGTAAGTACTCAATTCTTGACATAAGATAGGTATCTCGAATTCAATGAATATAATTTTTTTACGATGAAGTTGTCAGTTCATAGCAGTAAAACGATGAATACTTCTTCTATAAATCGAGTGTATTTTTTTTAACGAATATTCCGTTATGAGAATAGAGATGCATCCAAGTAGTATTTAAGCGTAATTTCCATTTTTTATGAGTAGTTTATCCATAGGTTAGGCAGAGATATTTCCTGTCTCATATAAATCACATTAGTGATCTTAAATCTTCACTTTTGAATGATTTTAAGCGTTGTTTTTATCAATTGATTTTTCCTTAATGTTGACTTAAGAATTAGTATAGTTAGGTATATATTGAATCTAAGAATAATATTTCCACTCTGTAATTATTTTCTTTTTGCTTTGGCTGCATAGAGATGTTATAACTGCTATTTGAAATAATATGGTTCAGAATTTCTCCACAGCATATTATTAATTCTAAAATATTTTAAATTTTCTGCTAAGTTCTTTTCTGTAATTAAGTTTTTGAATATTACGAAAATTATTTTTGGTGTATTGACCAGATGTGCGCACGTAGAAAATGTAAAGTACTCGAAAATTAAGAATATGCTTTAGAGAAATTCTGAACGATATTATCTCAAATAACAGTTATATTATTTCCTTATATTTACGGTGAAGACTTAGAATTCTGAACAAAATCACTTCTATGCAATCAAATGTGTCATGCGATTTCGTAGAAACTTAACCATGAAATATACTGACTAAGGAGTATCCCTATGCAGCTAAAGCAAAATAGAAAAGTGAAACCTGTTATGTATAAAATGTGTGTGTTGGGACAGCATAAAATTTTCTCGATTTTTGTGGAAAAAAATTGACCGTTTTTGACATAAAAAATTTTGATGACAAAAAATCTGTACCCACGGAACAAAGTAAATACTAAATTATACACACTTTTTTAAAGTCCAGATTAGCAAAAAACGTTGTATGTTTGTTTGCTTATGTGGAAAGAGAAGACAAAGAGAAACACACATTATAAAAGTCAACACTTTCACGAAGAAATCATTTGACATATAGAAGGGACAAGAAGTGAAATGTAACAGTTATTAACTATCATAGAAAAACGTTCGAATTACTTGATGCTTTTCTAAACAATAGATAAGAAATAGACTATTAACTGACGTTGATCACATCTGTAGAATCTGATGCCATCAGAATGAGTCTAATTATGAGCTCAAACTACCGACCACTCGACATACATTTAAGTTCTATATAGTATAGTTAAGAAAAATTCTTCTAGATCGATGAATACCGAAGTTAGTACTAGTGTTCAATATCGAAATCGACTCACACATTTCATCAGGACTCTGAACCTCTACGATGCCGACGATGAATTGACTTTGGTTGATCAGTTCTTATCTACACGCGTTTTCATTGTTTCTTTTGCAATCGCTCTATTTATTGTGCTCTTATTTACTGGTATCAATCCCCGAACTCGTACAATCATTGTTTCTTCACCTTCTCTAAGTGATTTTGAAAACTTCATCAATAGTTACACAACTATTCCTACCTGTCGCTGCTCTCAAGTGTCCATTCCTTATGAAAGATTTTTTTTGTTCGATCCTCAATTTCATCAAGTTTGCTCGAGTGATTTGATCAGTGAAGAATGGTTCTCCTCTCTATTTAATGTAACTACAAGCAATTACTATCCTCTCGACTTTCGTTTGACGGCCTCCGCACAATTTCAAGTTTTATCTGTTCTCTGTCGAACCTCACGCCAAGCCGTATTCAGTGCTCTGAATGAGTTTTCTGCAACATCATTTATTTCATCGCATGCTTTATCACGTGTCGCTTTCGATACTTATACGGACACGATTGTCGATCAATTTTACAATACTACTGTGGCGAATTTTCGTGAATACAATCGCTTGGTGTTATCCATTTTCGAGGAATACCAATTCATATCTGTATTACGCACGAATTTCTATACTAGAAGTGTGCCTGGTAGTGATACTTATGTAACTTTTTCTGGCATCTATCCACAACAGTTTAACTTGACTCAATCGCCATTTATGTCGAGTGAAACATGCCGATGTGATTACACGAGCGATTGTGTCTATCCTGCTGGCATCTACAATCAAACACGGATCATCGTTCTGAACGAGATCTTTTCACCTGATGCATCGCTTTTATTCGCTGTTCCGGGGTTTCAAGTGGGATGTGTACCTCAAAATGCATTGCTTCAATCGACACTGGAATGCTTCTATAATCAATCGTGCTTGGACATGGTCATTTCGTTGACTGGCGCTCTTCGTACTGTCTCAACACTGAATCTTTCGAGCTCTTTTTCACGATTTCACCCAACAACAACTATTGGTGTTATTTTTGATAATCTAATGCTTGAATCTTGGCAGAGTTCTACTGATTTCGCCGCCTATTTCCAAACATGTGCACCTCAAGCCTGTTCGTATTCGTACGTACAAAGGTTCTTTTTCATTTACATGATCACAATATTGGCCAGTCTCTTTGGTGGACTGAGCGTGACATTGCGCATTACGTCTCCTTTATTGGTCAAATTCATTTTATACTTATGTCACCAATGGACTCGAGCGCTTGCAGCTAATGAAGAACGTGGACCAAGCACAAGTAAAGTCGATATCTACTTAAATAGATTTCTGTTTCTTCTGACATTTTTCTCTCCATAGATAGCCAAGATCGTGCAAAGAATTTCGGTATGCTAATTTATCACAAAGTAACTACATTGAATTTGTTCAAGAAGACTTTAACCAACGTTCAACATGGCATTTATTCTACTCGAATCTATATCATATTGTTGATTATTGATGTTTACATTCTGGTCCTCTACTCTACTTCAATAGTTGGTTCACAACAAATCATCATTAAAAATCCAAGTATAGATCAAGTTGAAGATCTTAATAAAGTGTACTCATCGATTCTATCATGCCCATGTCGTCGTTTATCGATGCCACGCTCAACATTCATGTACCATGAAGTACATCTTCATCCATTTTGTACAAGTAGTTTTGTTAGTGATGACCATTGGTTCCAATATTGGACAATGAAATTCCTCAATGGCACTATCGATCCTACTCCCCCATTTCATTCAGCCGATGTTCGCAAACATGGATTGAAATTCTCACATTATACTAAGATACTTTGTGACTTTGCCGCTACAACTGTGTCCGACGCATTGAATGCTTTCCAGACGGAACACTTTTTCTCATCTCAACCCATCACTCAACTAGAATTCAATGATCTAACTGACACTTGGAAGTCTCATTTGCAAATGTAGGTAACATATGATGTAAAAGACGACTTAAAAGCATAGTTTTCCACTCATTAGTGCATCAAAATCGGAAAATCTCGTCTAACTTTAGTAGATTCTTTTCCACTCTCCCTCGGACAAAAAAAAACGGCCTTTTTCCATTTCATTTTTGCATCTCTTAATACGTTGTTTTAAAAAAAACAAAATATACCAGGAGATGCAGCGTGAAAAGAACTACAATTTACAAAGTAAATCTTATTTAATTCTGTACTTTTTGTTTTCAAAAAAAGCAAAATTGTGTGCGACCAATTTTCGACACTGCGAAAAAATCATTTTTTCTGATCTCATCTTTTTATCACCTAATCTGCTTTTGTAAAAAAAAAATGTACCACAAGATGTAGCGTGAAAAGCTCTATAATCTACAAAGTAAAGCTTATTTCAATTATGTACTTTTGTTTTCAGAAAAAGCAAAATTCTGTATAACCAATTTTCGACGCTGCGCAGACATAATTTTTTTCTATGCGAACAAGAAATTCCTTTTTCCTTATGTCATCTTTTTATCAATTAATATGTTTTCGTAAAAAAAAAACAAAATATACTGTAAGATGCAGCGTGAAAACCTCTACAATCTACAAAGGAAAGCTTATTTCAATTATGTACTTTTGGTTTTCCAAAAAAAAAGCAAAATTCAGTGCGACCAATATTCGACACTGCGAAAGGATCATTTTTCTACACCAATGAAAAATTCCTTTCTTCTTATTTCAATAAACTGTTCTGCGTAAATTGTAGAGCTTTTCACGTTGCATATTGTAGTATATTTTATTTTTTTTTACAAAAACATATTAGTTGATAAAAAGATGAAATAAGGAAAAAGGAATTTCTCGTTCGCATAGAAAAAAATGATTTTTTCCCAGCGTCGAAAATTGGTCGCAC